CCTACAAATAATTGAAGGTTGGTTCACAATGATTTGTGGTGTCAGTGCGTGGCCTGTGAGGTCAAGTTATCGTAAGTTTAAGAAAAATGTATCTTGAAGTTGCTATGGCCTCACATGGCTTCTTTAAAAAAATCTTCCCGAGTGCTCTTCATCATAAAGACTATAGAGTTGCTGTTCATAGTCACACAAGTTGCGCGATTTGGGAATGTGAACCGCGCACATCTCATAGATTGATGTGTTTTTTTTTTAAATCGAACATAGGGAAATTACATTGCATGCAAACTCATATGTTCGCATTTTAAAAAAACTCACTGTATGTACCTGGTGGTAGTTTGTAGCGCTGCAGTAGTTCCACAGAGTTGTCTAAAAAGTAAAACGACTCTGTGAATAGTTCTAATTGGGTATAGTTTTTATAACTTCGCTTTCTTTTAATGGCTACACCAGATATATAGTGCGTTCGGTTTTGTGATTTAGGATCCTTCTGAGCAGATTACGATTGTACAAATCACGTGATCAGATGTCTAAGAGGTTGGTGGAATTACCGAACGGTACTTGGAGGTAAACGATCACACGTTGCATAACCTCAATTTTATTATAAAGAAATACCTAACCCAACGGTGGTGGTACGTTAACATGGAATTGGCAGAAGGTTTGGTAATGGCAATCTCGTTGGCAAAGGATTTATTTTTTGATGACAGTTATGAAGAGTCTGCAAATAAGGTTCTACCAAAAGTAGAAGGTTTTGCCGAAGACATTGTACCCCGATTTTCCGGCAGACAATTTCAGCAGCATTTTCGGATTACAGTAACCACATTTGAGGACTTAATAATCAAAATTAGCGCCATTCACGTATCAGAAATACGCGTAGGACATCCAGAAATGGCTATCGACAAACAACTATTGATAACAATTTGGTCTCTTTCTAATTTAGAGTCGGTAAGTACGATACATAAAAATATGAGTTTTTGTTCATGGTTATTGTAATGCTAATCTATAAGCATTGTGTCACAATTCGAGTGTATGTACATTATAATTATTTTCAGATCTGTTGCCGACAGGTTTGGAATAAGTAAAAGCACATGTTGGGATGTGCTCTATAGGACCTGCAAAATGTTATTGCAGGCTAATGAACGGTACAAAATAATCACATGGCCAAATGCGGCTCGAAGTCTTATAATATCTGAACATTTTCGTCAATTAAATGGATTTCCAGGTAGGTATTGACTGCAAAAGCAATTTCATATAATAGTTCAATATCTTGCAAGCATTATCGGTGCCATAGATGGTACGCATATCAGAATACTAAAACCAAAAGACAATCCTAATTCCTATTGCAATAGAAAACATTATCACTCCGTTCTTTTGCAAGGAGTATGTGATCATCAGAAGCTTTTTACAGACGTGTATGCAGGCGAACCGGGTTCTATCCATGATTTGAGGCTTTTCAGAAAATCCGATTTATGTCAAAGAATTACCACGGGAGAGGTGACATTTCCAAATGACACTCATTTGGTTGGAGACTTGGCATATTCATTATCACGATATCTCATAGTGGGCTTTAAAAATATAGGTGTACTAGCTGTACCCTGCCACGCTTCGCTGTGGGCACATTGTGGTTGCATAAATGAGAAATAAGGAACAAAACAAAGCATATCTGTTTTATATAAGTTTAATTTTGCAATACTTGTGGATATACAATATTTTTTGTTTTTCCATTGTCTGCGTAGATATAGAGGCTATCTGGTTTGCCAACACGGGAACACGCAACATACAGTTGTCCATGTGAGAAGCAATCGGCATCTAAATCTAAACCACACAATTCCAAAGATTGCCCTTGAGCTTTATTTATTGTGATTGCAAACGCCAATCGTATTGGAAATTGCAGTCTTTTAAATTGAAATGGTGTATCGGTCGGGATCATTGGAATTCGAGGAATGAGGACATCTTCACCTTTAAAAGGCCCCGTTAAAATCGTTGCTTCCACTACGTTGTTCATTAATTTCTTAACTGCGAGTCGCGTACCGTTTCATAGTTTTGGCTGATTAATATTCCGCAACATGATGATGGGCACACCTATTTTCAATTTTAATATGTGTGGTGGCATCCCTGGCAGATCAAGTGAGTTCAAAAATTCCGTTGGATAATTAACTGCTTCATCTGCCTCCACAACAGCGTCTATCGACTTATATGTAATTTCCTCACTTTCAATGCTGAATTGAATATTGCGTGTGCACAGCATATGTATGCGTATCTAATAGATACTGTGAAATGTGCGGCCACACCATAGAACGCAGCCAAATTGCTCGTAAAAAACTTGCCGATGCGCTGAAGAAAAACATCGAAGCAAAGAAGGATGCAGCAATCGCCAAGAGAAAACAAAGAGTGCTGGAAACGACTGGTAATATTGCGAAGAAGCAGGCACCAGTTCGTAACGCAGAACTTCCGTTTCAACATACCTTGAACGATGACTTCGACATGTTATTGGCAGACACAAGTGCAGAAGTCGAACTCAGTCTGTTGCAATCATTAGAAGTGTCAGGTGAGACTCAAACCAGTGAGAAATCATTGTTTGAAAAAAGTCCACTGACAGAAACCAGTGAGGAATCATTGTTTGAAAAAAGCCCACTGACAGAAGACACAAATGCAGAAGTCGAACGCAGGCAGTTGCAACCACCAGTTTAAGTTTAAACATATGTAGGTATTATGTTTATGAATTTTTTTTTATAATGTTTTTAAATGTTTTGTTGCAATTTTATGCCATAATAATAATGTTTATTTTCGTTTTTGTTTAACTTTAAACATATGTAGGTATTATGTTTATGAATTTTTTTTATAATGTTTTTAAATGTTTTGTTGCAATTTTATGCCATAATAATAATGTTTATTTTCGTTTTTGTTTAACTTTAAACATATGTAGGTATTATGTTTATGAATTTTTTTTTAATAATGTTTTTAAATGTTTTGTTGCAATTTTGTGCCATAATAATAATGTTTATTTTCCTTTTTTTATAATAAGACAACTACATAAAGCGAACGCAGACAGTTGCAATCACCAGTTTATGTTTAAATACATGTATTATGTTTATGATATTTTTTTATAATGTTTATAATATTTTGTTGCAATTTTGTGCCATAATAATAATGTTTATTTTCGTTTTTGTTTAAGTTTAAACATATGTAGGTATTATGTTTATGAATTTTTTTTTGTATAATGTATTTAAATATTTTGTTGCAATTTTGTGCCATAATAATAATGTTTATTTTCGTTTTTGTGTAATAAGACAACTACAGAAAGCAAACGCAGACAGTTGCAATCAGTTTATGTTTAAATACATGTATTATGTTTATGATGTTTTTTTATAATGTTTATAATGTTTTGTTGCAATTTTGTGCCATAATAATAATGTTTGTAACTTTATTCCAGAGACGGCGCGGTCATAGACTAAAATTATTTAGTCTATGGCGCGGTTACTGGTACACCGCTGCCCAAATTTCGCAGTCGCTGGCTGGTATGGCGAGTGTGTCCCTCGCTTCCGACAGATGGCGCGGTTACTGGTACATATCTGACCGTAAGAAAAGATGTTTTCTCGCGGGCGAGGTCATTTTACTGACGCGAAAAATAGATAAAAACCATCCCTGAAGCGGATTGGATATCGTGTATATATTTCAGTTCAATCGGTGCAAAACTTTTCGAGTTTTTAAGGCGTACACAAACCAACATAACATTTTTATATATATAGAAGATTAACAGCTCGACAAAAAAATTTTAATTATAAATTGTCTCAATGTAGAGTAGTAATAGAAAATGCGTTCGGTTATCTAAAAGGACGGTTTCGTCGCTTAAAATCTCTGGAAACAGTGCGACTAGACCTTATTCCACTGTTAATCGTATCTGGATGTATTTTGCATAATATATGTATCGTAAAAGGTGATTTTCCAGAAGACATTGTCGAACCTAATGAGGTAGAAGTAGGAAACGTGGTTCCTGCACATGCTGAGGAACGTATTATCGATGTACCTGCGGTTGATAAACGTAACTATATCATGAATACATTGCCACTTAATGTACGTTTTCAAAACTGATGAATTTTTTATTTTGAAAGTACATTAGTAATACATGTAGATAACAAAGTAAATACACAAATATTACATTATTTCACTGATTTTTATTTTTAAATGTAGTAACGAACTCTTCAAATAAGGAAAGAAAACGATCTTGCCTTGCCAACTTATCTTTGTGTCTTTTGTCTACTTCATTTAAGGTTGCTTTACGTTTTCTTGAAAAAGATGTTTCGCCCTTGTCTCGAGTAGGAGTGCTACTTCTACTTGTGGGAGTACTACTTCCAGAATGGCATGGCGATGAACCCTTTTCTGCACTGACAATAAGGCCAGCATGGCTACTGCATGTAGCAATGGCTTCAATTTCCGGCTTATTGAATAATAATTGGTTCATTGCATCATAGTATTCCCACTTTCGTCTATTTTTCCCAGAAGTGCCATTATGATCCTTAATATCTTTGTAAGTCTTCTTCAACGACTTCCATTTAGTGTCACACTGTTGCCATGTAACAGTAGTATTGAATTTGCTATTTATAAGAGAGGCAATTTTTTGCCAAACATGTTTTTTTACAGAGTGCTCCATTTCAGTCTGATTTTCGTCAACTAAAGTAATGAATGACATGGTCATTTGAGAATTCCATACTTTCGGTTCGATTGTTGCCTTCTCGGGAAAAGGTAAACCTTGAGACTCCACAGTACTGGTAGTTATACATTGCAGAGCTTCTCCTTCTACAATTATTTCAATTAGTGGTATCAAACTATAAAGATAACTTCAAAATTACCTTGCAAATTATGATTTTCAAGCATATGCGCAAACATTTCTTCAACATTTTCAGTGATTGAATTACATAAATCGCACTTAAAAGCGAAAGTACTAAATTCTTCCGACATTTTTTAGGTTATAAGTAAAGAAAAAGCGCTAATACATCGCGTGCATGTGACGTCACGATACAACAGCTGATCGCTTGTAGGACAAACACTTCACTGCTCGCTATACGTTTTATGCAAATTGTGGCCCTAATTTTTAAATTTTTGAAATAGAATTGATTTGTTAAGTGTTGTAATATGTGCGATAAAAGTGACTATTTTAATACTTTACCAACAGACGTTAAAAATCGTTACTTGGACAAAATTAAATTAGTTAATAATGTAGATCCTTATTTAGTTAGTATTGGTACATGTTCAACAAACATTAACGATTTTCCTAGAGTTACGTATTTCGATATCGTAAATTATTTAGTTTTTAATAAAAGTGCGTACACACAAGATGAGTTTAAGGCATATAAAAGCCTGGAGGCGTACAATTTATTCCATTCTAAGTGGATTAAAACATTGTGTGTAAAGAAAATCACAAACTCAGATAATGTTTTATTACTTTCTGAGGTATGTTGCCTAACATTGTATAGTAATATATGTATATCTATAGTTTTTTCTTTCTTGCAGGTCATACATTCACAAAGGTTAAATTTACCTCCAGTTAGCCTTTGGTGTGTTGTAAAAAACAATGGTGAAGTACTTACAGCACATTGTACTTGTACTGCAGGTTTGGGGGAGTGCTGCAGTCATGTAGGTGCCGCATTATTCGCAGTTGAAGCTGCTGTTCGGGATACAGAGCCAATCTCGGTCACTGGTGAAAAGGCCTACTGGATGGTTCCAAACACAAACTTAGGTGTGCCTAGTAGTGTAGAAGAAGTGGATTATTCTGTGCATAAACATGAAAACAGTAGCACTTCAAGTAATAGTGATGTAGATGAAATAGGTGATTTAGAAAAGGCAACCTTTTTGGAAAAGCTCAGTGCGCTGAAAAATACCCCTGTGATATTAAAAGTTACATCCCCATATTGTTTTACGTTACAACAGGAAAACCAAGAAGCGACATATCAACGTGGAATTTTAAACAATTTGTATGATCAAAAACATGAAACCAAGACCTTGAACGAGCTAATCGAAGTTGGGAAAACAATTGATTTTCATCTAACTTCTGATGAATGTGCAATCATTCAAGAAAAAACAATGGGGCAAGCAGGTAACAAAAATTGGTTTTGTTTTCGTGAAGGGCGCATAACTGCATCTTTGTTTAAAGCCTGTTGCAGAACTAAATTAACAAAACCCGCAATAAGCACAATTAAGGCAATCTGCTACAAGAAACCTTTTTTTTCAAAGCAGACCACTTATGGATGCTTGCATGAAAAAGATGCTATAGAGGCATATAAAGCTTTCATGCTTCCAAAACATGAGAATTTTGTAATAAAAACGTCGGGGCTGATAATTAACTCAATGTTTCCATGTTTTGGTGCAAGCCCTGATGGTCTGGTGAATTGCGATTGTTGTGGATCTGGTTGTCTGGAAATTAAATGTCCATACTGCGTGCGTGACAGCAATGTTGAGGAATTGGTTCACTTCAAGAACATGTGTTTAAAAGCAAACGTACTGGAGGACAATATATGGAGCATCGACCTTGATCAGAATCACTCTTATTTTCACCAAGTACAAATGCAAATGGCAGTTGCCGAAAGGTCATACTGTGATTTGGTTGTATGGTCGAAGAAGAATTTTTATCTGGAAAGAGTGTATAGTGACAAAACATTTTGGGAATGTGAGAGTGAAAAAGCATTAGCATTTTTTAATAATGTAATAATGCCTGAATTACTTGGAAAGTATTTTACAAGACTACTTCCTTTAAAACAAATATCTACAAACGTGCAAGATAATGTACCCACATCTAAGCATAAAGTAGGGCAACACGATATGATTTGTTGTGCTAACAAATACTGTAGTGTACAGTGGTACAGTTTAAAAGATTTAAAGAAAAAAAGTGTACCGAAGGGTGTGTGGTATTGTAAAAAATGTGCAACACTTAAATTTCGCAAATGATATATTTTGGATTCATTCAGACATTTTTTTTACAGTTAATCTTATTCTTTCTGGAATGTGATACATTATATTATGTACTTGATTGTTGTAGTGTATCTATCTTATTTGTATATATTGTAAATTTTTTCTTAAATTTATGAACTTTATTAATAACCAATACCTTGTACAAGTTGAAAGTACAAAAAATAGCTATTACTGTGGAACAATGCTTGGACAAAAATTAATAAGTGCACAAGATACTGTAAGAATTTTATCTATTGTTTGAATTTTTTTATATTTTGAACGAACCATAAACATTGGTAAAGTATTGGAAGTAATTTTATATTTTCTTCGTAAAAGCCCAATAACCCTTTCTACATGTATTCTTACATTTGCAAGTTTACGAGTATCCTCCACTTCTTTGGGATGCAACTGCTTTTTTCCTTTTAGAAATGCTGGCATTTGCACCTCTGCCATGCATAAATTGACACTATCTTTAATTAAAAAGCCTCTATCGGCTAATATGAGGTCCCCCGGAAGCAAATTTTTTAAAAACCCTGAATTTTCAGTAATAAATTTATCACTACTTCGCCCAGTAAATGCCTTTGAAATGAACATAACACTGCCCTGTGGCGAAATTCCAATAAAATATTTGATAGTGTGATGGTGTTTATAATGCGAAAAATGTTGAGAAGATGCTTCTTTATTTTTTGGTTTTTCTGTGAAGATCTCAAAACAATCTATTATTACAGTGACCCTATTCCCAAAATTTTCTTTAAAACATTTGGGCATTGTAGCACACAAACATTCTCGTTCTGGCCATTGTACAAAAGACCTTAATTTCTTGTAAAGGACATGCAATACATTTTTAAATATTCTTCCACAAGTGGAACGAGATATGTTAAAACGGTAACCTAAATCAGTAAATAATAAGTTTAAACGTAATTTCATTAGTGTTAATATTACTTGTTCAAATTTAGATAAAGTTGTGTTAGGCGTTATCATTATGTAAGGCTCTACAAGTTGAAAAACAATTTCTAAAACCTCAAAAGAGAGTCCCGTATAAAATTTACATTTTGCATCATCCTTCATATCACTCATACTAAATTTATGAACTGACAATTCCTTTCGAAGTCTGTATATCTCTTCATTTGCTTTTAATAATCCATACTCCAAATCCTTTTCTGTTACGTTTGTACATTCAGTTGTTTCCAGTGTGGATGTTAGATTATCAAAAACTTCTGCCGAATGAGTGGCAATTTCCATGTTAAGTAGGGGTTCCTGAATGGATTCCTTTAAAATAAATAGATTAGAGAGGTAACAGCCAAAACATACCTGCAAAGTGCCAATTACTTGTTTTATGCGTTTCTTGGATCTATTATATCTTTCCATACTCGCTTTTCGTTTGTCGTAACCCATATTCTGTGATGGTATCCAATCTGGATGGTTCTCATCACTTAATTTTGCAGGTTTTCCTACAAATTAACGGTCTTATTACTTTTTTTGTAACGTGATATTTCCAGCAGACCAACTAGAAAAGGAAACAACAATCTGTTTTCGACACATTTCACACATTGTAAGTCATATGCTTTTAACAAAGTATTCTTATTTTTTACTGGCGTGTTGTTGTTCCTTTTCCAAATAGTTCTACCTCTCACAGTTAACAAATTTAGCTAATGTCTAAATAACATACCTTCCAAAAAATGTCTTGAGCAAATCATTTGGTACTTTAATTTACTGTCCGTGAGATCTGTTCTTCTCGTTGCTAATATCCAAGCTTCTCGTCTACGTTCTTTTCTAGGATCGACCTTTTTGTTGTTGTCATATATGGAAGGAAAACGAAAAAACGACACTTTGTCTCTATTACTTCTACTGCCACATTGAGCAACAGCGCAAAAGTTGGGCATATTGTCCTAAGCCTTCAAAGTACTTTTTATGTCTATATAATTACTACACTACACTTGCTACACTATATTAAATTACTTTAAACGTTTTATGTTGCCGTACGCAAGTTTATTCTTCAGTTTATTTTCCAATTTTTTCCTTAATAGTATATTAACCTGTATGAAATGAGGGTATGTTTGTCCTACGAGCGATTTGACAGCTGTTTTTTGATCACGTGATGCACGCGATGTATTGTTTCATAATTTAATTGAAGAATGGCAGGAGAAATAAACGATGAATTATTACTACAGTGTGTGGCGAACTATCGGCCGTTATATGACAAGAGCTACGAAGGGTACAAATCAGTTCTTCAAAAAGAGAACTGTTGGAGATCAGTGGCCGATTCACTGAACAGAGATGGTAAATTGCAGAATTAGGTATTGAGGTTTTTTCACTAATTAACAAAATTATTTTAGTTGCAACAGTTAAAGCTCGCTTTAAAGCCCTTCGAGAAAAATACCGTAGGGAAATAAGTACAGAAGAAAAGTTGAACCGTAGCGGCGCACCTGCCAATACAAGACCTACTTGGCCACTTATGAGCTTTTTTAAGTTTTTATATAAAAGTGATGGACAAAGTAGGCAAACAACTACAAATCTGCCCTCAAGTTCAGGTGAAAGTAGTAGTATCAACTCTGAAGTGGAAACTGAAATAATTACATTCATTGACCATGACTACGAAGGTTGTTTTTCACCTGTCAGTAACAACACATGGCAAAGCGAAATGGAGAATACTCCACAACGAAAAGGGAAGCAAAGTACAAAAAGAAAGTGTGACCGGTCTGATGTCGTTGAAATTGATTCTGTGCTTAAGGATGTGTCCAGTGCATTACTTTCGTTAAATAATACAGACAACAATGGTACAAAATATGAGAAATTTGGCCAATATGTAGCTGCCGAGCTAAAAGACATGACTACAAGTCACGCAGATGAAGTAATGGATGCATTAACACTTCAATTAGTTTCATTCAAAAAACGCATTAGAGATCAATCCTTCAGTTAGTTAAGTAGTTTGCGATGTATTTATAACAATGTCATTAACGATTTAGTTCAAGTTTATTATGCATACAGGGTGGATGTTTAGTTTTAATATTGGAAATGATTTGTTAGCGAATTTACTAATTCAAGGTTTTCGACGATACTATTACATTGTATGGTTCAAGATTTTCATTATTTTATTTCATTAAGCAATACAATCTTCAAAATGATATTAGAACATTACAGTATTAAACGTTTCAATTAGTTTTATTTATTACATTCCACTGCCATGGTGCTAAAGATGCTCCTGAACCATTGAAGTATTCTTTTAAATATGTTCTCATAGCTAAGGCAGTTTCACCAGAATTTCTAGCACCTAACCGCAGTCGAAGGTTTGTCAGAGCCCCATCAACTGGAGCCTCAGTCCTCCATCTCCCAGAAATTAACTTTCCATCTACTTCTCTATCGATGTCTTCATTTTGAAAATAACATTCATTATTTTCCATTCTTATATAATTGTGTAAACATACACAGGCTTTCACAATATTATCAACTGTTTCAGGAAAAGCATTTATGGTACGGTGGAATATTCTGAACCTTGCCACTAAAATTCCGAAAACATTTTCAATTATTCTTCTGGCTCTAGAGAGACGATAATTGAATATTTTTTCGTCTTCAGGCATTGTACCATTTCGGCCTTTGCTGTATGGACGCATCAAATTGCTTCTAAGTGGGAACGCTTCATCTCCAACAAAGAAGTGTGGAATTTGTAGACCATTGCTTGAAACGGGTAACAACTTTGGAGATGGTAAATTAAGACTATTTGTAGAAAGTTTTTGTCCAAATTGTGATTGATTTAAAACACCTCCATCACTTTGTGAACCGTATGCTCCTATGTCCACATAAGTAAACATGTAGTCTGCATTGCACACGCCCAATAAAACAATGCTAAAATTTTTTTTATAATTAAAAAATGTAGAGCCTGACTTATAAGGTGCTTGAATTGTCACATGTTTGCCATCTATAGCCCCTACGCAGTTTGGTAATGACCACTTAGTACAAAATTCTTTTTCAAATTTTTTTAACATCTCTTCATTTGGGGTTTTTAACACTATTGGAAACAAAACATTCCACAACACCAAGCACGTTTCTCTAATAATATTACAAATTGTTGGTACAGCAACCCGAAAGGAATATGACAAGCTTGGATAAGAATCTCCAGTTGCCAAAAATCGTAATGTAATTGCAAGCCTATTAATAAAAACGATTCATTAATATTTTTAATTAAAACACATAGATATATAATTACCTGCACCCTGGAGATATCGATTCTCTTAGAGATTTTTTTGCAATATCTGGGCCCACAAGTGACAATAATTTATCAAAAGAGCTTGAAGACATCCTAGTGAAATTAAAAACATATCGTCGCCCAAACTGCAAAACCTCGTATCTGCATTTTTTCATGAAATTGAGATATTTTGTATACCGATGGATTACTTTGTTATGCATATGTGTGCAAAACCTTAGAAACGAACAGAAATTAACAATTTAAGAATATCCATGTGTAGTACCTCGTATATAAACTGTCAGGTAGGAGCGCATGCGTAACCTCGTATACGTTGAGGTTTACCATGTGAAGATATGCTGTGCCTTGCGCTGTCACATCATTTTGCAAAATTATAAGGAATTATTAACAAGTAAGTAGTACACATTTACTTATTAAGTAGTAGTAGGACTGTTTTATTCGATGAAATGTTGCTTTCCGCTGTGAAACTGGGTTTAAAGCAATAAAATGCTTACAAAGATAATGTATTCATATACGTGTTTTTGCACGCACAATTATTTTTGCTTTTATACGGTATACGCGGTTTTGTACCTACCCCAAATGAAACCTAACTGCACTGATTTATTTTATTCTATTTCAGTATGAGTATTTCTCGAGGTAAAGCCCTCGTTCAAATGATTTTGAACCAGGATGTGAGCAAAAATAGAGATCTTACAAATCCCGATAATTTAAGCATCAATCAATGTTCTAATGGCGAAAACAAAGAAAACCCCAGTATAGTATTTTTTGAAAGTGAAGAGTGTATCCCCAAAATAAATTGGAATTTAGCACAGCTAACACCTGCGCAAAACATTGTCATTGAGGAATGTAGCGTTGCCGCCTCAGCTTGGTCAGAAACAATAATAAATTCCAACACAAGCCCTCAAGATTTCTCCAATAGGGAGCCAAATGATATTTTTAATGGTAGCACTGAAAACTTGTCGACTGGTAGCGATGAAGGCAGTAATTTTGAACCTGGAAGCGATAATTTGGGATGTAGCGAGAGTGAAAGTAGCGACAACAATGACACTGGGGACGATTTAGCAGAAGATCAGCATGGAACGATCAACACTGACGACAGAGGTGGTAACGAAAATGCTTCCAGTAATACAGAAAAATCTGAAGACCAAGGCACCAGAGATATAGTACCACTAAAAAAACGCAAAATGTCTAGAGAGCAGAGGTTCCAAAATAAGCGGCTGAGAATGCTAGGACAGTGTTATAATGGCTTGCAAAAAGATCCCTCCGAAGGAAATTATAAGCTTACCAATATCGCCGCTCGTAAAATGGGCCCAACCTGCTCATCGAGGGTTTGTAAAAATTCAAAAGTATTTTTCTGTCCATCTTTTCATGAAAACGATAGAAAACTTTTGTTTGACAGTTTCTGGAAGACTTTAACATGGGATATGAAGCGCACGTACTTAAGCTCTTTAGTGGATTACGTTCCCAGCAAACGTATGAAAGAAAATTCAAGAAGGAAGGGTACATTAATATATTACTTAAAGAAAGGTACTCAGAAGCTTAGAGTTTGTAAAAAGATGTTCCTTTCTACATTAAACGTTAACGAATGGATTGTCAGAGAGTACAGTAAGAAATTACATGGCATTACAGAGGCAGAGGAGAATGTTCTCCATCCTAGACGGAATCGCCACTCTAATGATCAAAGAAGAATCACAATGCAGACATTCCTAGAAGAGCTCCCTAAAATGCCCTCTCACTATTGTCGTTCTTCTACGTCTAAACTGTATCTTGAACCTACGTTTCAGAGTAAAGCTGAACTATACCGAGAGTATCAACGCTACTGCGCTACAAAAAATGAAAATTCATGTTCGCAACAATTGTTTAATGAGGAAATTAAAAAACAAAAAATAGGAATCTTTAGACCTCGAAAAGATCAGTGCGATGTATGTATTTCACACAAGCTTGGTAATATTGATGAAGATACATACCAAAAACATCAAGCAAGTAAAATTGCAGCTCGTAATTCCAAAGAAAACGATAAAGGACGATGTCAGACAGAGCCAAAGAAAATATTAGTGATAACCGCTGATGTTCAAGCGGTCAAATTGGCTCCAATGTTGAAGGCGAGTGCAATTTATTATAAGACTAAACTTTGTGTTCATAATTACACAATATATAATTTATTTAATTCCGAAGTAACTTGTCATTTATGGGATGAAACCCAAGGTGGCTTAGAAGCTAATATGTTTGCAACAATGTTATCCGATTATCTCCAAAATCATTTGCTAAATGAACCCGACACCAAGGAATTTATCATCTACTCTGATGGGTGCGGGTACCAGAACAAAAACGCTACTGTTGCTAATGCCTTACTAAAATTTGCAATAGATAATCATGTAACAGTGTACCAGAAATATTTTGAGAAAGGACATTCTCAGATGGAAGTGGACTCCGTCCACAGTACTATTGAAAGAAGGCTAAAAAACCGTGATATATATTTGCCAACTGACTATATTGCAGTTTGCAAAGAAGCGAGAAATAGAAATCCGTACAATGTTAAATACATGAAATACACAGATTTTCGGGATTACTCCAAGGTTAAATATTATAGCAGTATTCGGCCAGGTAGGAAACCTGGAGATCCGCAGGTGAACCAAGTTCACTGTTTTATGTATTCACCTGAGGGGATTATAAACTATAAATTACAATATAAGGATGAATGGCAAGTCCTCCCAACAAGATCACATCTTGACCAATATGAAGTCACGCAATTGTATGACACTAAGCAAAACATAAAACAAGATAAATTTAATCATTTGCAGCACTTAAAACAAGTATTGGATCAACAATTTTGGGAATACTATGACAATTTACCGCACGCGTAATAGTCATCAAAAACACGTAAGCGATGAATTTCGATGCAATTAGTGTTCAAATACTCGTATGTGAGTTATTATAATCAAATATCGAATTTTGTTAAATATTTCATTTTGTCAGTTTTCAGAATGTATTTTTATTTAAATAAAATTTAAAATTTACAAAAACATTGTTAAATCAACTCTATTATGCAGTTTTATGTCTCCCCTGTAAAATTTGCTAAATTGCACATACGAGGTTTTGCAGTTTAGGCGACGATATACGGATCATGGATTCGAATTTCATTTATTAAATTGTCATAAAACCCCTGACTTTTTCTTTGCAGTAGCATTGGATGAATTCCAAACCTTTTTCGCTTTCGCGTTTTCTTCGTGCTTTTTAGTTTTAATTTAATAGATAATAAGGTAGCAATACTTCCCAACAAAAGGGCTTTTACTTCTACATCAGACATTATAGATAAAATTTATGCTTTATCAATAAAAAAAAATTGCTCTGAGGTTAGAAATTTAAAATGTTTACTATTGCGCATGATCGTGTGCCAGCACGAGACAAACAACCTTGCAGCTTGCAAGCGTCCATAAACAAGCAGCACGCCGTGCTGAGTCGCGATGATGTTGTGAATGGTATACCTACACTCCATATGTCTAACACGCGTGCCAAAGTTGCACTTCGCCTACAAAGTGATTATAAATGCAGCTTAACTCGTTTCGACTGTTGAAATTTTACTAAACACGTCGAAATTACGACGGTAGCCTTCTATCGATATTGGGTGCGTTCGAGGAGAAAGGTTTAGGCGCTTAGAACCGCTAATCACCGTTCGAGTAGGTGTATAGTGAAATGATAGATTGATGACGTCATTTGTCGCGCTATTATACGTCATAACTCGTGCTACACACGCTTTTTCCGAAGAGCAGAAGCACCGGACGCTTTTAGCGCCAATTGCATGCTTTAAGCTTTGTTCGAACGGAACGTGTTTGCTTTCATAACCTCAAATTTCTGTTTTTTTTTGCAATTTTAAAAGTTTTTTTCTTGCGGAAGTGTTAAAAAATGTGCAGTCAAAAATCGGTTGACATTAATCTTTTAGGATGCCGAAACAGGTATTATATACCCTATAAAAGTTTCCCAAAGCGATGCGGACAGAATTAATGCAGGTATGTACAAATTAAGACCTGTTAACTAGAATCTAAAATTGTTTTTCTGTTTTAGATATAACTTTTGCCCACCAAATTTTGCAGCGAGAAATTCAAGGGACAAGTTCCAATGATGCTGGATGCTCGAGTAATTGTTACATTTTCTTTATTTACATGAATAACTATTAGTGTATTTATTATAGATGAAGAGGAACCAGTAAAGCAGGTATCGGAGGACATTCCTGTCAACAGTAAGCATAAACACTTATAGGTCAAAGTAGGTATACTTATTTATTTATTTGCAGCATATAAGTGGTCCCATGAGGCAGTCCTTCTTTTATTAGAATTATATAGAGAAAAAGAAAATTTAATTACGTCTGGTAAAATAAGTCAAAAAAAGCATGGGATAGAATTTCAGAAATATTAAATAATAAAGGACATGATGTTACTGGGCCACAGTGTATGACCAAGTTTAATGGACTGAAAAGAACGTTTAAGTCAATTAAAGATCACAACAACAAGTCGGGAAACAGTCCTAGGACTTGGCCTTACCTACAGGTTTAACATTAAATTTATTAGACTAACAATTAATTCTAATTTATAGGTAATGGATGATCTATTAGGAAATAGGCCATTTATGGCTCCACTTTCCACAGTTTGTTCATCAGGTACAGAAAGCGAAGGAAGCAGACCTTCTTCTGCATGTTCTGAGCCATTGTCCGCCACTCCTTCACGTAAGTGATATAATATTATAAGATACACATGTAAATTTATTAACATTAGGAAAACGCAAAATGGAACAAGATGTATCTCTAATCAGCAAAGCAATTACAAAATCGCGAGAAATTGCAGAGTTGAATCGTCAGCGACGATACGAAGAAAATATGACCCAACGACAAAATTTGTTGGAAAAATTGGACAAATTAATAGATAAAATGTAGACATTTCTGTATTCGTTCTTTATTAATATCTGATTAAATACATTAGAAAAGTAAACAAAATTGTAAATAATTCAAATTATACTAATCTCATAGGTAGACGTTCAGAAATCAAATCTCTTTTTGCTAGTCCTGCTTGAATTCGATTGGGGGGAGCTATACAAAGGGGCGCATCTTGTATTTCTTCCATGAAAGTGTATTCTAACTCATCATTTTTTAACAAGCAAATATGCAGTACACAACAAGCTAATACAAATGTGGGCACATTATGAGTATTGTTCATAGGTAGCACTGTCAACAAACTTCGGAACCTGTTTTTTAAGAGACCAAAGGCTCTTTCAATACTCATTCGTGCAGATGAGTGACAAAAGTTGAAGTTCTTCTGACGTTCAGTCAAATATCCATTGTCACGGTATGGAGTTAAAAGGTTATCATGTAACTTATATGCTAAATCTCCTATCAAATGACTGTCATTAGGAAATTTAATAGGGTTACCTAAAAAATCATTTAATTCTGATAGTCTAAACACACGCTGATCATGTACAGATCCTACATGGCCTACAAAGCAGTGTGTAAAACGACTTTTATGATCGCATACTGCCTAAAATATTAAAAATAAATAAAAAGTAACAGAAATATTTATATACTTGTAGTTGGATGGAATGATGTCCTTTGCGGTTTACATAAGCTTCAGGATTTCTATTTGGAGCCGGAATGTTTATATGAGTTCCATCAATTGCTCCTATTGTTTTCGGAAACCCACTGATGCTTGCTTCGAAGCCTGTCCATATAGCTTATTGCACATCATTAGCATGTGGCCATTTAATAAAAATTGGTGAAAGATTACAGAGTATTTTGGTGACCCTTTTTGTTGAATACAAAGCCGTTGAACGGCTGACATCAAACTTTTCACAAATAGATCTACATAAACAATAAAAAAGATATAAAAGAAGTTAATTATATTAAAAACAACCTGTATGAATCTGGAGTAGCCATTCGCCAAATTGCAATGAGAAATTGTTTCTCAGGTGCAATCATGAGTAACCCTTTGTAGGTCCTCTTTAACCTTGGAGCCATATGTGACAATATGAATTCAAATGTGTCACGACGCATTCTAGTATTAAAAAAATTGGCAGATAAACAGATCAATTCATTACTATCTTACCGGAAATGCGATTTAAATTGTTGATCATTAAAATTAGGTACAACGCTTTCTACATAATTTTTTAATCGTGGTACAACCACCTTTTTATGAGAAACTAATTGATTTAACACCTCCAGATCCTCATTTTCACTTTCTGTTGACAAAAACGTTTCCAAAAATTCAGTAACAATCAAATTTACTGCGGTAAACAGGTAACCGTCAGCCCGAGAAGTAGCCATAATTAAATTACTGTCGCCTATTCTTTAAAAACAAAACAATTGTTTTTTTAGGTTATGTTATGTAGGTTACGTTAACGCTTTTTTTCGCGTTCGAGTTTAACAGCCGTCTTTGTAGCTTTTAGTCTCCTTGAACGTTGAAATCGTTTACCACGAGCATAAGCGCTATTTAGCGAATTAGTATTTTACTCGAACGCACCCATGTTGTGTACTATTCATTGACGTCACCGAAACGTCATTACTTTTCGACTATTGGAATTAATTTCAACACCGGACCAGTGGTTGAAATTCTCGACGTTGAAATTGCGTGTTTACTTCCAGTGTGATAGGAAGGTTATACTAACCTATATTTTGTATTTTGGCGGGCTTGCTGTTATATATATTTTATTGATTATTAAAGATTAATTCACGACGAGAGCCATTACAATACATTTATTAAAAAACCTCGTATTACATCGTCTGCCTGCGGTCTGCACATACTCTCTGTTTCATAGTTATGCGAGGTTGCCAATAACTTAATTTATATGACACCTCCCTTTTTTAACAACTTAAACACAGTTTCTTAAACTAAAATACATAATTCTTAAACTATTCAGGTTAACCTATCGATTACAAATCTAACCTAGCGGGCGGTTTGGATGCTCTTCCAAATCTAGTCTGTGTCAAATCAAGAAATGCCCATGGATCTGCCAAATACTATGGAAAGTAAAAATTGGAAAGAAAAATATGAAGAATTAAAAAAAGAAAACAAAGCATTAACGGAAGAAGTCCAAAAGTTAAAGGAGCTAAATATTAACTTACAAGAGGAGGTGATAGCAAAATTTAAAAGTATAGGTAAGAATGTGAAACATCTTCACCAAGATAAAGTAATCTGTCATTATATAGACTTCATGCAAAATCCGATTCCACCAATGGTAACTATGGACAGCCAAGAAACTTCCAAACCGATCCCCGATGATGTTCCAGTGGGCGGACTATATGATGGCCAAGTAAAAGTGTTTCTCATATACTTATGACAATTTTATAAAAACTAATTGTTAAAGATTCACATTGGACGAGGAGAATGGTTACCTGTAGCCATTTTTAATATGTGTATGGCAAAAAAAAAAGATTCTATCTTTATCAAAGAGATTGCGTGTTCCTTATTTTCGCCAGACGTATTATCTAAATCATCAGTGACTGGTCAACCTGGTAATAAGACCTCAAATCCTGCCAAGCCTGCATTAGACCCCACCAAACTTCTTGCAATTGAAGGTAATTGGTTAATATGTAGATTAATCATTTGAATACATGTTTAGGAATGTCACTCCGTAGATATACTCCAATTCAGAATGTTTCAAAGAGGCGATACCCCTGATCTAAAAATTATCAGAAACTGTGTCCATAAACACGTTCGTGATAAAATTCAGGACCTCATTAGACCACCAAGGGCGTCAAAATCCAAAAAATTAAATAGTCAGAGCAACCCTCAGCATAGATTGTCACCTGAGGAACCTCAAGTAGTAGAAGAGCATGTGCAGGATGCAAATATGGGTATGTTAAATATGATTTTTTTATCTTTAGTACTAATACACCTTTTTATCATTTCTAGAAATTGTTGTGCCTAATACCTTTATCACTGAAAATGCTGTAGTCCTAGTAGATGAGTTAGGAGTTGAAATTGGCCATATATAGTAACGATCAAATTTATTGAATTTCTACTACATTTGGGAATTCACAAATAACTTTTGTTTTACCAGTATCAATAAAAATACATTTAGATTCGTAGTCAGACATAGATATTAGTAGTAATTCATAGGTACTCTCTTTAACATAAAACATATGATTTAGTGTAACTTGCCCACAAATGTATGGTTGTGTGTGTAATTTTTTAACTAGCATAAATGCTTTTTCCTTGTAAAGGATAAATTCTAAAATCTCAACAAAATCTTGGCATTTTGTTTTTATAACAGCGTTACATTTTTTCGATACATTCATGTAATCATTGCTATGAAGCATAGTGTTATTATACACACATCTCTTGTAAATAAAACCATTTTCAGGTACATCAGTTTTCAGGCTATGAAGATCTTCGAAATTGTTAGTTCTTAAAAATTTTAATTTCGTTATCATTTCACTGGCATTTATAAGAGACGCTTTTCCTAACAAAATGCTTTCACCTGCAACAGTCTTTCTTTTGTAATGCCTTTTGTGGCCCACAATTAGATTATTACAGAATATAACAGAATTTTCATTAATAACGTTATTACTTTGAATACGAGGCACAAATGTATTAAAATTATATAATTTCTTAGCAATTTGCTTTCCAATTCCTTTAGGTCCTTTGATTTGCTTTTTAATATGAAAAATTCCTGACTCAAAAGGGAAAGTGCTGTTACACCAAAGTGGGCCTGTTTTTTTTACACAAACAGGTAAGTGCAACATTGTATGCATGTTAAAAGTCATTGCTTCGGGACCGTAATATTCGTTCGCTTGTTTTACAAATAAGAATAGGAGCTCTTGTGCTATATCTATTTCTGAAGGCAGTATCTTGGTTTTTAATAGAATGAAAACTGCCTGTACTAATAAGGAGAAGTGTTCAAGGTATTTCTGTTTTAAAATGTTGTTTAAACATGGCAGTGAATAATAAAGAAGCCAGTTCTTCCATTCGGAAGCTTTCCACTTACAGCGTTCTTGTTGATTAGCGGCAGCGTTTCCAAGCAAAAGACATGAACAAAGTATTGGCACTCATTTATTACACATTAAAATGTATGGACAACTGACGAGACGTCATGACATCATTTTTACAGACAAGTACAACAACTAACTTCACACTGAACATAATGGCTGTGTCTATATTACATGTACATATAATGCATTGTGATCATATTTACAACACTCTCCCTTGATCTCAATGCTCATCAATAATTAACAACTGAAGCACGAATCAACTTAGTCCTATAGCTTTGGAACAGAAAATGTGTTTTTCTTTAGGAACAGATTTAGTTAAAAAATCTGCTACCATTTGCTTAGTTGAAATGTATGAAACATTAACTAATTTTTTATCGATAAGATCTTTAATAAAATGATATCTTATATGAATGTGTTTACTTCTTTTATTCGTAACTGAATTTGTAGCTAAAGCTATAGCACTCTGGTTGTCACAATAAATTTCTACGTAATTATTAGTAGGCAATATAAAGTTAAGAATATTACAGCCTTTGCTTAATTCTTCACTTAAATTGTACATAAAAGAAATTTCCCTAGCACCTTCACTTAATGAAATATACTCTGCTTCCGTTGAAGATAGAGAAACAACTTTTTGTTTTCTACTCTCCCAAGCAATTGCTGCTCCACTTAATAGAAGAGTGAAACCTGAATTAGATTTTCGATCTGTAGGGTCATTACCCCAATCTGAATCGACAAAAGCATGAAGTGCTCTGTGCGTCTTTTTATATAATAAACCTACATCTGCAGTTCCTTTAAGATACCGCAGAACTCGTTTTGCTGCTAACCAGTGTGAATTATCATTTGATGTATTAAATTGGCTAAGATACGATGCTGCATATGCAATATCAGGTCTACAGGTAGTACTTAAATACATTAGGCAACCTATTAATTCTTGATAAAATTTTATATTATTATCATCCTTAG